TATAATTCCTAAATATTTAATTTAATCCATAAAGTATTTTAGGCGCTTCTCCTTCTCTACTTGTTTTTCATTTCTTAAATAATTATTTTAGAATTGAAAACTTAAAATTGAAGAAGATCACAAGCTTAATATTCTTTGATTTATTTTATTTTTAACGAAGTACTTAATAAAATATTAATTTAAACCACCAAACTTGATTTTGACAGACGAAAAGAAATTCGTAAAACATTTTAGCTTTCTCTTGATTTTTGTTTGTTGTTGTAACAAAGTATTTTAATAAAAAAAATTAACAAATTTATATTCAATACAAGTTTTATGTTAGAATTTATTCGAATTAAATAGTGGCTAATATTTCAAGTTATAAATTTTGGAAGTGACATGGTGAATACCAAACAATTATATCCTTTAACATTATGTCTTCCAACAAAGACTCAAACTATAAACCATAAACTTTTAAAAAGGGTTTATATATAGATGAGTTAAGATTTATTTACATACAATTTTTAGACATGTCATTTACATAAAGTTTTAGTCTTTTATATATCTAATATAAATAGTTAAAATTTATCACAATTTTTTATATAAAAAATTAATTTTTTTAAAAAACAATAAAAAAGTGGATTAATCTTTGTTATTCATAGTGAAGAAATGATTGATTAAAATTTTGTATAAATGATGTATATGACTTATGTTTATAGTTTTAGAGCCACACTGAGACTAGGGGTCTATGACCCTGCTTGTCTTTCGAAAATGTTTTAAATTAGTCCTTAAATTTCATAGTTTAGAAAATTTATCCACAAATTTATTTTATTCACTTAATTATTCTTAATCTCTATGAAAATAATTAACATTACTTTATTTTGTAAATTTAGTCTTTAAATTTAAAACAAAAATAGTTAGTAATCCTTTAAAGTTAATTTGCTAACTATAAAAATTGTCTTTAGTATTGAATATTTTGTGCCATATTATTAAGAAAATCTTTGAATTTTTAACATTTCTCTGCCCTTTTCTAAAAAATACCTTAGATCATTGCCTTTGAAGTGCCTTAAATTAGTTTAAAATATTCATTTTAGTTACTTACATCTATTTTTTTAGGTCAAATATTTAAATGTCACATTTAACTCAAACTTTTTATTAAATCAAATCTATTTGTTTTATTTTATCATTTTCCATATAAAGTTTTGATATATTTTTAAATTTATTACATTTTTTAGATGTATTTTATTATATATTTTTACCATAAATACAACGAAATAATTATTCACTAATAACCAAAAATTTCAAAGGATAGTATAATTTATATTTAACATGGTCAAGTTTGATTTTAGACCTAACTTTACAACTTTACAATTATGTATTACTTCCTTGGGATCTTTTTAGTTACCCAATTTCATGAATTTTATGTTAATTAATTTAATATTTTTATATAAACAAATTAATGACAACTGAATTTTTTTTTTATCCAAGTGAAAATATTCAACAAACACTATGTTTAAGAAGAAAAATGTTTTCAAGTATCATCTATTTGCTAAATAAAATCATCAAATTAAATTTTATACAAAAGTCAAATTAACACAACTAAAATAGATAAAAAAAAATAATACTTTAAACACAAATTTAATTTAAGTGTCAACAAATTAGCCTCCCCTCATCTCAAATCCTACCTCTACCACTATATGTGTAAGTAGATCAATCCTAATTCTCTCTCTCTATATATATATATGTGTGTGTGTATATATGAGTATGGATTTATTTACATTCAAGTCTCATATATTATACTTACACAAAATGTTAATAATTTATCTCTTCATTTTTAATGGTTAAGATTTATCATGATTTTTTAGATGAAAAAGATAATTATTTTTAATAAATGTAAATAAATATGAACCATTTAGAGTAAAAAAGTGAATTATTGAAATTTTGTATAAATATGATATATAAGACTTATGTGTAATTGGATATCTACTATATATATAGGTGAATTAAGGGTAAATTAAGGATGTACCTGGTTGATAGAAGGATCATTTTAGTGCAAAATTAAGGAGTTCAGGGACTAAAAAAGTGCAGAATTGAGTTGAGGGACCAAATTGGTACAAAGGACTAAAGTCGAGGGACCAAAGAGGAAATTTAACCAATGAAAATCAAATTACGAAATAAATGGAACTTCGACTCCAACCCGGATAAGTGCATGTTTAGATTATATATGGATTCTGTAATTTACGTTGTTTGAGAAAGATTAATCCCCAATGGCGATTAGCAGGAAACGGAAAGCCGACGAACTCCTGTCGTCCCCAGCCGCAATAACCTGTGTGCTGCCGTCCCCAGATTTCTTCCGAACGCTCCCGCCCCAAGCGCATGAACAGGACAACCTGGACTATTTCGAAGCATTCCATGTCAAACGTCGCAATGTAATGAAATCCCCCTTCCAAGATACGAAGTGGCCTCGTCTCCAGCTGGACTACAAGTTCCTCACCGACTTCGTTACTGATCCCAGATGCAGTACTTCCTTCAGCCGCCCTGTAATTCTTAAGATACTGGATCTTTTTGAATCGGAGGATGAGAGGGAAAGGGTCGCATTGGCTACCCTTTTGAAGGGAATCTACGATCGATTTCCGGAGCATAGAGTATTCATCAGGAAATCAGTCTACGATATATTCTGCCAATTCAATTGTTCCAGTGATTCGAAGCACAATGGGATTCCAGAGCTGCTAACTTTCTTGAAAGATGTCATCGGAAAACGTGGATCTCTGTGTCTAGAAGACGAGTTTAGGGTTTTGCTTCTCCGATCGCTGATTCCCCTCTACAAATCGAAGTGGCTTGTCATGTTTTATCCTTATTTGAGAAACTGCATCGCGGAATTCAATGTGAAAGATCGGAAGATTGCCGATTCTGTTACTCAGGGGATGCTGAGGTACTGGCCGAAGCAGGCAAGTTCCAGGGAGTACTTTTTCCTGGATGCAGCAGAGTGTTTTCTTATAGAGGCGAAGTTATCCACCGACTTTAGCAGCTCCGTGGTGGGTTTGTTGGAAAAGATTGCTGGGAGCTTGAAGAGTCTTCAGTTCAATGTCGCAGAAAAAGCTCTGTCCTTACTGGATGTCAATGGAGGCCTTGGAATCCTGACAAAGAAGAATTTCAAGTTCATATTGCAGATTGTGTATTCGAGGCTGAAGGAAGTTGCTGCTAAGCATTGGCGGCCGAGAACGAAGGAGTTGGCTGTGAAAATTAACACGGCATTGAAGGCAGTTGATCCTGTGTTCTATGACGATTGCTATATTGCTTCCCTGTTGTGTGAAGAGGATGAAGCAGGTATGGAATGGTTGGCTTTGGCGCGGGAGGAAAGATGGAAGCAATTGGAAGGGATGGCTGCTGCAAGAAAGGATTGGACTGGATTGTCGATAAATTTCAGGCAGGAACTCTGTAATTAGGTTCTATGCTGTTCATGAACACTAGGTGCTTTTTGTGAGATTAGGTGTAGAGGGAGCTTCTATTGAAGCAGCGAATGTTAGAAACTCTTAGTATGTTTGTTTGTTTATATTTTTCTGGAAATACTGAAATTTCTCTCAGATTTTGAATTTTCTACTTGAAGTCTCCCCCCTTTTTTTTTTGGCTACAAATTCTTAAATTTGATGCAGGACATGGTTATCCATTAATTGACAAGGTTTAAATTATGGTAATCAAACAATTTTTTTGGCATAATCTTATAATTAAGTTTGTGTTATATTGTTGTAATCCAATTTTGTAATCCATTTTTCCATGTGGCAGTTGCTTAAATATATCAACGGCTTTCAACTCAGCATATAATGTGATGAGTGCATTAGCCGTTTATTAAAACCAAAAGAAAATGTGCATATCACATTTTAGGATATTCTGATAGTTGGCGTTAAAAAATATTGAGACATTTGACCATGATTATTAATGAATGCGACATAATGTAAGTTCGAATTTACTTTCATTCATCATATAGATCACTAATAAGTAAGACATAATGTAAGTTTCAATTGATATTCATTCATCATATTGTCATGATTGAACATCATGATATTTTTAATGCCCAAACGCATTGATTTTTCCTTTTCTCTACCATCTAAGAGATGAACCAATAGTTAACGTTTGCAATGTTTGAAGGTGCTAGCGCCCGACAGGTGTCTGCAATTCTATGAAGATAAGGTCCAGTGCAGCTTTGAAGCGCTTGCAAAAGTCCCTTTTCCAGGTGCTTTATTGAACCCCAAAACTTATAATTTTTCGGACACTTTTTTAGTTTGCCTGGATTTTCAACTGTATGGTACATGGTTTGGCGGGGGTTTCCAAAGCGCCTGGAATTATATTTTCCAGCGTTTCAAAAGCACCTGTAGTTTCAATTCAATTGTATGGTTTTTCCAAATTCTTGCGCTGGCAATTATATTAGCATCTTCACCTGTTTACCATGCCATAAATTAATCCATACTTAAACCAAACATTCATCAAACTCACTGAACCATAAATTCAAATCATTCATCAATTCATTCCATTATCCAAAGACATTATGTTCAACACAATCACACCCTCAAAAACCATATAGTCATCCATTTCCTACCCCAAAAAAGGCATAAAACCATAACAATCCTTGACTACAAATACTAAGCTTTCAGTGCTCTGAAAACCATAAAATCTATGACTAAAAACAACTTTATCAAAAAACCATGAACATCACAAGATTACTGCATCAGACCGGAAGAAAGACGGCTGGCTTGAATAAGAAGGCTCGCTTGATGAATGAGAAGAATTCTGGTCTGCATTCGATCTGGCAGTAATGTTAAACAGATCCTACAATTATAAAAATTTGACAAAGGTTCAGAAAACTCCACTACAAAGTGCAACAACATGAATTTCAAAGCTACCACCTCAATCCCAGAGCCATGTTATGCTCAAGAACCTATTAAGCTAGCCATGCAAGAACACACCAGCCCTGCATCTCATAAATGAAAATCAGGAAAAAACAAGGGATTGGAATTAGCATTGTAAAACATAACATAAATCAATCCAAAACCAGCATTTACAGTGCTAAAACAAGGCTATAAGCTTGATAAATAACCAATATTGTTGACTAACAAATCCAGCATCTCTGAGAACTCCAAGGACTGCTAACATTTGCCCTCTGAGATCATTCAATTCATTTTTAACTGCTATAAGTTTAGCATCTTTACTTTAAGAAGCTTTTCTAGAAATACCAACTGAGGTTAGAGTTTGTCCCAACCCCAAACCTCTTACTTGTCCACTCCTTTCTTGCCAACTTTAGACATGATTTCTCACTGAGCGTTTAACAGATCTGCAGTGCTTGCATCAGGGTTTTCTTGTTTATTATATACTTCATAAGCATTTCCTGCCTCATTCTGCATAGAGTTAAGAATTATGCCATCTACTCCAGTGCAAACATAGAATTCCTAGTCTTCATAATGTCTAAAAAAGAGAAACACAATACCAACCAAGATTCTTTTTGCCTCTTCATCAACAATATCACTATTTTCTAATTTCTTTATGGTGTGTGTTGTCTGATAAATATCCATCCAACACCTTCCGGATATTTTTCTTTCTGTGCCAAGTCAATTTGAACATTTGAAAATGATTAAATTAAGCCAAATACTAGCAGCTTAGCCAAAGTCCATGGAAGCTTACAAGCTCCTTAGATCTGATAGCATAACTATTGCTCCCACAAGCATGGTGTCCTTTTTGTTGTTTCCTACTCTTCTTCTTGATGTCTGAAAATTTCTACAATAATACCATGTATTATTTATCAACCTTTTCAACTTAAAAAATCAGCATTAATTACCTTCCATGCAGGTGACATTGAGTGCTTCACCAAGCAAGATTTATATATAGCCTTGGTTACCTTCCTTTTTGATCAAAGATTTATGTCTTCCTTTTGTGTCCTAGCTAGAATAGTTCATTTTACTAGTCATATGAATTGCAGTTCGAACTTTATATTCCTTGAAGGTAAACAGAAAGCAAGCATAAGGCAAGAAAAAGCATATAATTGGTAAGATGCAGCACCCAATAAGGATTCGACTTGCTTTTGTTACACGTCCATAATTTATCAACCAAATGTTTTAGTAAAGATGCAGCGTCAAACTTTTCTTTGCTTGGCATGCCACCTTTAGCAATGCAAATTGAAAAAAATATTTGGAGAATTAGTTTCTGCAGATGGTTCAAGGAGGGATGACTCTCAATAAGTGTGAAACTAAATTCACTACCCTACCTAAGTTTGCACTAAGATATGTAGATGAGAGAAGATGAAAGCAAGAAAATTTCAAAAATTATCGACAAAAAGTTAAGATAGAAAAAAAAAAAAATTACCCTAACATAATCCATTTGATCAGCTTTGGTAGTCTTGGCAATGTCCCTGCAGTATTCATAATTTAGTGGGCAAAGTGTGGGATTCCTTGCAAATGTGCCCAAGATAGTACTTCTGATCACCTGGACCAACAGCCTGCTTATCTGTATTGTGTATTGATTCCAACCTTAATCCTTTCACTCGACCCTAACCTATGAACATCTAGACACTTTGTCACCCCTCTTTTTGGTTGCATAGGAACTTCATGGGTGTTTGTGCCCGAAAAACAGGATTCTATTCTATACATTACTATAAACACTAACATTTTAACCAAAAATACAATTAAATTAAAATAACAAACATGATCCTCTTTGCTGTGCAGAGTGGTTAATTCCTGTTTTAGTTTAGCTCGATTTGGTTGTCACCGTCGAGAGGAAGACTCCTCACTGCTTGCATCTTGCACACCCAATTGTCATTTTTCTTTTTCTTCCCTTTGCCATCTTCTACCCTTTACAATAGACTTGAAACTAGCCATAACAAGCAGTAGATTAGCAACTGAGGGTTTTAAGAAAATTAAATAATAAGATTTTACAATACAACAACATTGATTCTTTGGACAAAAAAGGTTTTTTATAACATCGATGTAAATTTCTAGAGTAGCATTTAGTACATCATCTCATCAAATTTTAACAACAATTAATCATTGCTATCTAGGATGTCCTACAGGACATCTTTCCTCACCAATGTTGCTGCAAAACCATCATCAACTGAAGTAGCATCCAAATGTTGAGGGCTAAAAGAGACATATCTATCAAAACCATTATCTTCCAGCTCATCAAAATTTTTAAACATGCAAATTAGGTTAAAAATGGCACTGAATGAATATAAGAAAAGTATATTCATTTTCCTCTAACAATGGACAAGATGCTTGTCCATTCATTTTCTTGATAAAAATGGTCATTTATCATGCATCGTTTTTAATTGATGACAGGCAGTATAGATGACATACATGCAAAGCTTAATTTAAATATGCAAGTTCAATCAAAATCTCAAATGAAAAGTAGAAGGAAAATAAAAATAAAAACAGACTTCTTGAAAAAGTGGAAAAAATATGCGGCGAAAAACAAATATAAAGCTGAATGAGACATAGGCGTGGAAACTAAATGCCATTACAAAAACATTTCAGCACAAAAGAACACAGAAGAACAAATATAAAGCTTAAATTGGAAGCAAAAACCCACATGCGGAAACTGAAGAAAGAAAATCGCGATTTCAAGTCTAAAATTTCAGAATCCTTTAGACTAGGGATTTTGAAAATCTAAGAAGAAGACACAAATCTGGAGCACCGGATGAGATTCGAAGGAGAAGACAGAAAGGCTAATGTGAAAATCAGAATCTGAGAAATCAAAATCAAAATGAATATCAGATCCAAGGAGAAACTCATGCAATTGAGGCTACAATTGCCGGAACCAAAGGAGAAACTTACCAGATTCAAAGCTCACCTTCAATTGGCTTAGGGTTTCTGAAGATACCCAGTTGAGAGATGTAAATCATGGTCCTAAATGGCAAGAAAGAAATCGGGATTTGGGGGGTTTTGAACCAAAATGAAATGGCCAGAGGGAACAGGGATTTTGGGTTTGATACAAAAAAGAAATTGAGAAACAGTGAACGCGGGAATTTACATGACTAAGTACCGTACGACCTTGTTTATTTTATTTTAGGCAAAACCTAAAGTTAAGCTCCCAAACGAACTCCATATTCTCAATTGAGCACTTGGATTTTTTTTAAAGCAGATAAGTCCCCAAACCCTACAATCTGTGCAATTTTACTCTCTTCTTCATGACGGACTGCAAAATTGTAAACAAATAAAGACATAGAAGAGGGCAAAGATAAAATATGTGACATAATTAGGAAAAAACTAAATTGATGGTTAAAATCAAATACTTATTTATATTGAGAACTTATTTATATTGAGAAAAAAGCAATCAAACCACATATATCCTGCAATTAATTTTTGGATTAAAAAATTGTTTTGAACAAAACATTTAGATATTGTTGATAACAATTTGAAAACCCTTAAACTCACTTATAATGAATATTGATGATGGAAAAAGAAATAATCAGAAGAATGTACATGCATAGGGAGTGTGGGGGAAACTCTTAATTTTCTTAACTCTTTAATTTTTTAAATATTTAGTCATTGGCTTTTCATTTTCTTCATTTAGGAGTTTTTGAATACTTAGACATTTGGCATTTTATGCTAATCTAATGTTGTCTCTTCATCTACCACATTTATTCATCAATTTATTTTCTCATTTACAATTTTCATTTATTTGCCTCTTCATTTGCCCTTTTCATAATCATTACAATTTCCATTATATTCTTCATTTACAATTTTCATATTTTTATCATTCAAAATTTTATTTAATTTCGTGCACTTTTTTTTTAGAATTAGTTAAATGCATACCCTATTAAATGTATAGGATAACATTTTATATAATACCAGTTTTTTTTTTTTTTCTCATGCATTGCACATGTTATTCTTCAGTTCTTTATATTAGTACTTGCATTCTATACTATTTTTTTTATCAACTTTTAAATTTTATAAATAATTTTTTAGTTAAAAAATATATTAACTAAGTGATGAAGTTTGAGTTTGAATTACTTTTGGTAATTGACAATGGTACTTTTTCAAAAGGTTGTAGAGAGCCACATTAAAAAGAAAAAAATATTAAGAGAATTAAAAAAAATTGAATATTAATCTTCATCTCATAATTCAAAAAAATCCATTCTTTTGTTTTCTACTATTATCTCAATTAATAATTTATACTATATTTTCTTTTCTCTCAATTAAAGAACTAAAGTTAAATAAGAATATAATTAGATTCCTTCAAATCTTGCATTTCAATTATTTTAGAGAATTATAATCAAATAACAAATAAAACTAAATAACATTCTTATTAATTTATTTTCTAGTAATTTAGTATGTGTTTTGTATAGGATTTATTTTTTTCTTTTGTATCTATATTGTGTGATTTTCTCTTGAATATAATTTTATGATAAAGTTATTTTAAAGAAATGCAAATTGTATTTGTTAATTAGATTAGAGGACAAAAGTGTTGAAGTTTTTTGTATTATGTATTAGAAAATATATTTTTGAATTTATATTGCACTAAAATATGTTTTTTCCACTTTAAGGTAATTTTAATTTTCTACAAACCAAATTGTGCTTTTTGTGCAGTCTAATTTGAAAAATTGAGCTCTTATATATTGTAGATTTAAAATTTAAAACTCTTTCAATTAATCAAAAATTGAAATTATTTTGATTTTATAACATTAAATCTTGTTATTTTTGTTTTATTTTTGTTCTTTTCCCAATTTTTTAGTGGTTTATCTCAAGCTACAGAATATATTTAGTTGTAATAGTCTTTATTGTTTGACTTGGATTTGAAATTTTATTTATTTATTTTATTTTAAGTTACACAATGGATTCAACCTTTTATTATCTATTTACTTGACATTAGGTTGCTCAAGTCATTGATTAAGAAGTCTCATTTAGATTAGCCATATTAGTTTTGTTTTAGTCCATTTTTTTGCTTTTAAATGTGTAATATTGTCACGCCCCAGAACCTAAATCCGGGGACGTGGCAGATGCCGTGCACTTATGAAAGGGTCCCACAAATGCATAAGGTTCGGAACTTATCATACTACAATCTGATACTACCAAAATCTGAATATAATATTTTAAATTTTCTCTGATATCATAAAATCTCCAAATACAGTTTAACTTACAAGATCATGATCTATATCTAAAATCTGTATTCAATTTACAAAACGGCTAGCCTTTTAACACGTCACTCCCCTCGTTTTTCCCCGTCCTTGACTTCGTTCCCTGAAATGGTGAACAAGGAAAAACTATGAAATAACTCAGTAAGTAAAAATGGATAGCCCTTAATTAAACTTATAGCATACCAACAAGTATAATCACGAAAAACAGATACGGGTACGAAAACGAAATAGACGTCTCTTCTATAGGTCATGGTCAGTGTTATAAACCTCCCATTGGCAGGCACACGATTTACTAGTATATAATCCCACTAACAGGATAACAGAAACGAATCGGTTCTATCAGTAATATGTCGACATGTGCTAGCGTTTATAAACCTCCCACTAGCGAGCACACAAATAACATGACCATATTGGAGACAAAACAGGCAGAATTTAATAGAAAATCATACTTCACCAATCACTTTCAGATTATCGGGATAATCAATTTAAATCTCAAGTAGGCATGCTCACTTTAATGAAAAGTATAAAAATTTAATTTCAAATCAGTCATGCTCATATTTGCGTAAAACGGGTTTAGTCCCGCCACCACTTCAAAAACAAGTCAAAACATGTTTTTAAAAATTGTACGGACATTACCATAAATTCACTTACCTCACTCACATAAAACCGAAAACTCGATCTCAATGCTAAACTGACAGAACAATCAAAAACCTAATCAAAATATCTCAAAATTAATACCGTATTATCCAAAATTAATACCGTATTATCACAAATTCAAGATGAAACTTCTTTAGGATCACCCTTAATCACGATGCTATTTCTATCAATCTCCACATGACCGGACATCTCCAAATTTGTTCTTATATCACAAATTAAATATTTAAATCCCCGTTAATTGTTTACCCTCGGTGTGTGAACAGTACTCATGAACAGTGTCGTGAACAGTAACTGCACTTCCAAAAATTGGCCAAAACACTAGCTAATTCACGGGATTTTCTCTCCAAAAATCACAGCAGCCAGCTCAAGCAATTACACATGAATTACGCTTAATTATGCTCTAATTACTGTCAAATTTCTCCCCTATTTTTCAACAGATTTTCGGACACACACAGGGCAGCAAATAACTGGTAAAATTTCAAGCTTGGAGCTGTCAACATACCAGATTTTCCAGCTGCAAACCGGACCTAGCAGGGGGGTGAAGCCGGCGGCAGTGCAGGGGAATTTAGGGGGATCTACCCAAAATTCAAGAAACCAAGAGCAATTAAGGTAAACCCAAGTTAAATCAAGGCTAAAAGGATGGATTAATGGCTGTTCTTACCGAAAAAATGCCCAGAAATCACCCACAATCAAGAGCAGCCGGCGGTGAGGAAGGAAGGAGCAAGGCAGATCCGGAAGCTTTCCTGCAGGGGGAAGATTTCAAGGCTCCAAATCTTGTGATTGAACAAGAAAATAAGGGGGAAATCCAAGCTTCTTACCGGTTTTCTCAAAGGCTGGTGCCGGCGGCTTGGAGGGGCTTTCCGGAAGAAGAAGAATGAGCAGATGCGCGGGCTGAAGAAGAAAGAAAGAAAAAAAGGAAAAAGAAAGAAGCTGATCCTTATCCAAAATTTTTCCTCTTTTAAATCCCTCAACTTTTGAAATTTTTGCTATCAAGTCCCAGAATAATATTTCTACACAATTTGGTCCTTAACTTAATGCTAAAATATCACAAAATTTTGGGGTATTACAAATATGTTCAAGTTTTTTCATACGTTTTTGTGTTATTAACGATTGATTTTGTAAGAAAACAATAGTTATCATGTATATTATATTTCCTTTTGAGCTACAACTACAATTCATGATATAATAGTTACAATTGAAATTATATTTTTCATTAAGGAATTTAAGTGTATTCAAACATTTTGCCTTCCATACTCACTTGCATTTTTATCTTTGAGTTGAGAAATAACAGTAATATTAAATAATAATAATAATAGCACTTTCATATTTAATATTTTAATTCACTTGAATCTTTTTGCGTATTACCTCATACATGAATATAATATAACCATATTCAATTATTACTAAATTGTTTTAATTTTCTTTATCATTAAATAGGGTAAGCATTTACATAGAATATAATAAAAAAATGTAAATATATAAAATGCTACCCTATGTGTTAATTAGGGTTTGTATTTACATAAAATATTATAAAAACTTAAAACCATAAGATAGGTGAAGAGACAAGTTCATCTAACTTTTTTTTTTCTTTTTGTGTAGCATGCTAATTAATTTCTCTTGGTAGATGAAGAGACAATACCATTTAAATATTTAAAAACAGAAAAAAAAATATCCAATAAAAAGAAAATGAAGAATCAAAGGTCAATTATTTAAACTTTCTACCTTTATTTTTTTGAAGATTTCTTTTGCAAACTATTTAATAGTTGTTGTAATTGAGAAAATTTTTTAATTGTTGTTTTGTTCAATTGTTGAGATTTATTAGAACATTTTAGATAAAAAAAAAAGATAATTATCTTTAATAAATATGAATAAATCTCAACTATTGAAAGTGAAGAGATGAATGGTTAACATTTTACATAAGTATAGTATGTAAGACTTGTAAGTAAGTAAATCCCTATTCATATAATAATTATCATTTATATGTTAAGTTATTAATTATGTGTATATTTATCTTTCATTATCAACTATAATATGATAATTTTGGTTGAAGTTATATTTTTATTATTTAAATAAATCATGACTAAATTTTTGTATATTCATGACCTTTTGTTTTCCATAGTCTTTTACATTTATCTTCTTTTAATTTGTCAATATAAGATTTTTCATACAAAAAGAAAGATAAAAAGAGAAGTCCTTTAACTTTAGAAACAGCAAAAATAAATTTGCGTCATTTAGGGATCCTCAATATTGTACACATAAGTACTATACATTAAAATTCTATGTTTTGTTCTCATTCTCCATAAATATTGGGTTTTTATCTCTCTTCCTTTGGTTTCATTATATGTAACTAATAATAATAATAATAATAATAATAATAATTAAAAAAAAGATAAGAATTGAAGAGGAAATAAAATGATTGGAAAAAAATTATTAATCACATTTATTGTATTTTTATGTAAAAACAATATATGTTCTTTTTTATTTTTTAATAAATTTATTTTTTATAATTAAAATAAAAGACAAAATTAGTGTTTAATTAATGCTTGTGATAACAATTTATATTAGGACCATGATTAACACACACACATTTGTACCACACTCCCATTACACACTCCTTTTTCCGTTAACTTTCACACTCTCCGTAAGTCTCCATTTCACTCTCACCGTGTTCCCACCTTCTTCCTTTTTTTTCTTTTTTTTTTTTTCTTCCGGGTTCTTGAAAGAACCCAGATTTCTTTTTTTTTTTTTTCTCTTTCTCGGTTTGGGTTCTCGGAGAACTCAATCTGGGTTCTCCAGAACCCACCTTTTCTTTTCTATCGATTATTCTCCCTTCTGTAGATCTAGACCATCTCCTTGCATCTCATCATCATCACAACCTCCACCTCCATCACCATCCTCAATCACCACCAAAATAGAAGGAGAGGGGCATAACCATAGATCCCTCTGTTTTCCATCACCATCATCACCATCACCACCATCATCATCATCATTGTCATCGCCAAGCAACTCCCCCCACCCCCTCCCACAAAAAAAGGGTGAAGAAAATCTGGTTTCGGGGAAAGAGAAGAGTTTGACAGCTAAAAACACTAGATGGAAAGGGTTGGGTGAGTTGGGAGATGACTGAAGAGATGGTAACGGAATTAAATGTAATTAACGGCAAAGTAATAGAAATTGAAGTGTGTAACAGAGTGTGTGGTGCATGAGTGTGGATGCATCTTTATCCTTTATATTATAGACAAATAGATATAGATAGATTGTTACTCTATAAAAATTTTGGCAATTAATTTTTTCTTACAAAATCTACTGATTGTTAATTCAATAATCAAATAATTTTTACCTTCTAGTTATAATAATATATATTGTATTTGGTTTAATATTTAAATGGCCTTACCTCTTCATCTATTAGAAGAACTTAATGCATATGGTAATGCAAAGGGAAGTATTATTTAGATGACTTGCCTTTTTATATAGTAAAAAAAATTAATTGGCATGATGCACAAAAAAAAAAAAAAAAACTGATTAGATGAACCAATCTCTTCACATACATTACAGTTTTTCGTTTTTGTTACATTTTATATAAATGTATATCCTAATTAATACATAGGTAACAATTTTCTATATATTTTAAATGGTCTTACCTCTTCATTCACAAAGAGAAATTAATACATATGGTAATGCAATGTAAAGGGAAATACTATTTAGATAGTATTGCCTCTTATATACTAAGAGAAATTAATTAACATGCTAAAAAAAAGAAGGTTAGACAAACCGATATCTTTAACTATTTT